AGAGAGAGAGAGAGAGAGAGAGAGAGAGAGAGAGAGAGAGAGAGAGAGAGAGAGAGAGAAGAGGAGAGAGAGAGAGAGAGAGAGAGAGAGAGAGAGAAACGAGAGAGAGAGAGGCAGAGGCAGAGGCAGAGGCAGAGGCAGAGGCAGAGGAGAGGCAGAGGCAGAGGCAGAGGCAGAGGCAGAGGCAGACTCTAAGCTGCACCGTCCTCTTCACAACTCGGTACCGGACAATTGCTATTTGTTCTTACTCGGGACCGAGTTTTGCTTCCCAACCATGCCACTGTGCTCCACGTCCCGCCCCGCCCCCGTCTGACAATACAGAAAGTGGCGAGATGCATTTCCTTAGGAATCCATTTAGAACAGAAACTAACATTTCTAAACGATACCGATAGAATCGTCATTTTGGAACCGGTACCGAACCAGAACCGGACTTCGGTACCCGACCCGAGCTGTGAGTAACGTTATTAGTAACGTGCTGTGAGCCTGTCCTCTGCCGCTCGAGGGACGATGACAGGGATGTGACAGTTTCAGGGGATGACAAAATCTTCCATAAAACCCCATTGCTTGTTGCAGTACACGCGACTCATCTCCCTCTATCATATTGATCTGGATCCGAAGTTCTGAAAATGAGCCTGCTCGACCTTCTGACTCTGAAGTTCTGAACCAATCACAGCGAGATAATGACCTGGCTTCCGTTTCTACCATACTCCTTCCGTTTCCACTATACTTTCTCTCACACATTCTCTTGCATACATATATGGTCTTCAGACATGCATATGTTATTTAAATTATTAAATGTAAACATTGAATGAATGTGCATGAGAGCAAAATGTATAAATATGTGCGTTAAATTATATAAATATGAGAGCAAAATGTATGAATGTGAGTGACAATGTATGAATGTGTGAGTCCAAATATATGAATATTAGAGTGAAAATATATGTATGTGAAAGGAGAATGTGTGTGGGAGTCCCACACACATTCTCCTTTCACATACATATATTTGACAGGGGCGGATCTACCGGGGTGGCATGGGGTGGCAACTGCCACCCTAAACAATAGCCTTGCCACCCCAGCTGCCACCCCAGTTGGCATCTTTGTTTTGAAAGAAAAGTTGTGGCTCATCGGACATTTATGAGAGAAAGTTTCTAATGTCCGAGTGCAAGTGAATGCAGCACAATATGCACGTCATGTAACCCCTCCCCCGGTCCTGGCGCGAGAGTGGAAATATGATTGGTGGCGAATTCACTTGAACGGGGGACGGCGCAAAACGAGAAGCATTCGGACCCAAGCACTGAAGGAATTAGGTAGTTGCGGTCTACAATGACAGAGAAGAGAATGTCAAGTTTGGCTGTAATCAGCATTGAATCAAAACGCACTACAGCTGTTGATCTTAATAAGTTTGTGAGGCGTTTTGCTGAACAAAATACTAATCGCCGCATTCAGCTGTAATAGACATGCCAACTTGATGCTCTGCTCACGGATGACTCGATGAGAATAACAAACTGTTAAGATGATGACCTTGTATGCGTGTATATATTTTTTTCTTTGAGGGGGTCTGCCCCCAAAAAACAGTTTTAAGTCCTGAGAAAGTAAAATAAGACGGTGTGTAAAACTACACTGCCCAGCCAACAGAAAGTAACCACTTTGATTTAACTAGGCCAGTAGGTAAGGACCTTCCACTGGACAATAACTGCAGCGATGTTTATGCTGAATACACGTTTTTTAACCCTAACTGATGCAGTTAGTCACTTCTTTAATGTTTGTTCTTTCTGATGTAAAGTCAAGGTTGTAACTGTATATCAATAATGATATAATTACTTGTTTTTCAAATTTGAAGGAGGGTGAGCAAGCATCTTGATGAACATTCATCATTAACTCCTCCAAAATATATAGTTTATTCAATAATAAATTAATATGTGAATCATAACAGTTCTTCACTATATCTGTAAAGCGTCTTTGAGCACCAGTAAAAACGCTAACAAATTAAATCTATTATTATTATTATTATTATTATTTATTAACAGTGATTGACAGCTGATAGGAATAATATGATTGTTAATAGTATCATATTCATTCAGACAAACATCGACGAGACAGTTAATAAATTGTACTTATTGCAGCAGTCTGCATAGATTTGGTACCCCTGCTGGTCTAAGAGTGAAACAAACTCATTCAGTTATTGTTCAGTTAAAATTCATTAAATTACGTCTGCCACCTTGTAAGGCTTTACTGATGTGCCACAATAATATCACCTATGTAATTGAGTTAAAATATTAATATTGTGGCTTTCCAAGTTAACATTGATTGTAGGGGTGTAACGGTTCACAAACATTTCGGTTCGGTACGTACCTCAATTATTCGGTACGTTTTCGGTACAGCAGAAAAAATTATCACAAAACATTAAATATTTGTTTTTAATTATTATTAAACTGTGACTAATGTATTCAAATAAATACAAAATATAGTAAAATAAACATTAAGGTGCAGCATTTCGATGAACTGAAATAATCTGTATTTGAACTGTACTAGTACCTAAGCAGCCAGCTTGACATTAGGACTTGCTTGTCATTGTATTTTCATGTTGTTTAAAGAAAGATGAACTTGTCCACATTGCTTGCTGAAAGGGCAGATCTGCTGGCACTAACAATGTCTCCTGCTGTGGAGAACACCCTCTCTAGTGACAGAGGTAGCAGATACAGCCAGGTAGCGCTTTGCTAACATGGCAACATAAGCATATTTGGTGTTTGTAATAGCTTTGGCTCGGTCTGAACTCTCTGCGAGTGGTGGAGGCTTACATGCTAGCGGGAGTTGGGTTTGCACTTCAGTCTTTTTTCTTTTGGTACCGGTGATATTCACATTCGGGTGATGCCTTTTCAAATGAGTGTGATGTATTGCCAGCCGCGTAACCAATGTTAGTTGAACAATGCCGACAAACAGCTTTGGTTCGGTCCACCTGTCTTTGTCCGTCATCCTTGTACGTAACTGCAAAATCAAAATGTTCCCAAACCGGAGACTTCAATGATGCTGGAGGATTTTCGAGCTCAACTTTATCTGCGTTCGCCATTTCGACAGTTCCTCAAATTACTGACTACATTTGAACGCATCCCTGTGACCAGCTCTCATAGTATGCCTCTCGTGCAATGAAATGACTTGGTCGCTCTATGATATACTGTAGATTACTTCCAGAAAGTTGTTCATGTTCTCAATTTTTTACGTTTAACGCTATATTCGTTCGGTACACACGTGTACCGAACCGAAGGGCCCGTACCGAATAATTTCAGTACGGGTACGTGTACCGTTACATCCCTAATTGATTGATATGATTGCGATTTAAATCAGCATATACTTCTGTCAGGGGATGCCACCCCTCAAAATCTCCTGCCACCCTCTTGCCACCCCATGAATATTTGTCTAGATCCGCCCCTGTTGGGAGGACCAGTATGAATTACGGCCTGTACGGCCCCTCATACCAGGTATTGTCAACCATTAACATTGTGTCTCACACACAAACTCTCAGTTAAAAAAATGTTATCTCAGGCTACTTGTTGCTTCTTGAAACGTGCAGAGGATGTGGAAGGGGCTCAAATGCATGAAAGGGCACATACGCAATATTTGTTGATCATTTAATAAAAACATGCCTGGTCTTTTTTCTCCCTGTCTGTATCTCACACACAGATTCATGACAGTTATTTAAAAATAAATGAAGTGTATTTTTGTTAATTCTCCTCAAATGACATGATTGACGGAAGCTCTGCTGACAGAGATGCACTTTCTCTCTTTGTTTGAGTCCTTTTGTGTCCGTTGCCAGCTTTCCGGGAGCAGGCCCTCTCAGACACACATATAGCCTACAACTGCAAAGTGTTACCGTTTTGATTTGACAACATTATATTGAGTTATAACGGTTTTATCTGAGTTATATTTCTGCCGATCAGAAGCAGATATATCTCACTGTCACATCGCTAGTGCAGTAAAGCCCGCATCCGGTACTGCACGATCTGCATTCTGATTGGTTAAAGCACTTATTTGTTGAAAACTCTATGTAACGATTGGCCTGGAACTTGTGTGTTATTAACTCTTTGTGAACTGGGATACATATGCGCAAAAACAAACAAACACACAATTAAAAATCGATATGAACTGACGAGCCGCATGAGACTGTGCAAAGAGCCGCATGGGTTGGCCACCTCTGCTGTAGTAGCTTTATTATGTACTGTATGTCTCCGTTGACATTCTATTGGTTTTGCTACCAAGAACATTCACAACTTAACTTCATCCTCTTAAAATGAGTTTTACTATGATATGATGCTGCCCTCTAGTGATGGAGGATTGTATGACACTGTTTGCCTTTTTTTGTTTAGTTTTGACCAGTATCTTTGATTTATTGAAATCGATCCAATTAGTCATTTGAACATAATTGAATAACAACAACAACGTGTGTCATGTTATACCATGTTTTATTTGCAAAAAATGTTGTGAACTCCAACAATAAAAAAACAGCATCTTTTTAAAGAAATTGCACTATTATACCCTTTAGTATGTAGCACGAGAACGTACAGAAGGAGACATGGATAATAACTGTCCTTGTGAAGCCAGATACAATGCAACCAAGGGTATTTTTTATTATAAGACAGGGTTATCTTTCTATCATAAAATAGTAGATTTTCCGCATAGACTTTCTGTTTATTATTGTCTTGTACAGGTCACCATACCATCAGGGCCATTGCAGGTGAAAATAAAACAAGATGGAGGTTTTACCCAAGAAAAAACGAGAAGGTTATAATACAGGCCCGATTCACAGTCCTGTCCTGTCAACGTTCAGATGCTTATGGTAATATGTTCATTGGAGGCCAAAACAACCAGTATCTCAGTGTTGCAAACCTGATTGCATGAGGAGGGCTCGCTTTTTTTCACTGGAGGCCTATACAGTATATGTGATTTTCTTCTCAAAATCTACAACTTTAATTGTCATAAAATAAAAAGGTGTTTTTTCTTGGAAACAAACCATTTAGTCTCAGAAGTCCTCCATGGCTCAGTAAGGTATTTATTCTTGACCTACAATTACTATTTTGCACTGTTGTACCACCATACCAAGTAAAGCTGCCCTTCAATTAAACACATTTAAATGTGTAATGCCTATCAGATGTTTCAGACAATATCTAAATGTTCTTTAATTGGTTTCTCAGTGTTTGACAATGTTGTTGACCATTCAGTTTGTGTCTGTATTAAAATCAACACTTGATGGCGCCAGCACATCGAAGCTTCCTACATGGCCGTCTTACTGGGGTTTTCAGGGTCAAATGTCATGATCTCCATGTGGATAAGACCTGATTGAATACAAAAATAAAACAGAATTAGACATTTCCCATGAAAGCACTTAAGGTTATTTGTATTGTAAGTGAATATAGTAGAGCAGGAAGGACTCCTAAAACATTGAAATAAGTTAGAATGAAAGCACCTCCGGTTCCTTTATCTTAAAGTCAATTATCTTTTGATTGTTTTTTGGTAAGGCTTCTGAAATAAGGTTTGTGGTTAACACAAGCTTAAGAGATTTAAAATGTTTGATCTATGACATAATTGACATCAGCTAATACCCCATGATTGTATGAGGCTATCATGTGGTACAAATGATGGTTGCTAACAAGTGGCTACATTTCATCACCCTAAACATTAGATGCCTTTAGCTTAGCGGTGGGGATACACAGCCATGATGCCGTGATGTAGTTAGTTCATAGTTTTAGTAGTTCAAATGCTGTCAAAGTGGTGTTCATATGTGGAGATTACCCTGCTGAACAAACCCTGTTAGTATCATAAATGAATAATTGCCTCAAAGCTTATTTTCTGCAATATTTCAAATCCAATGGACAAATCCCATTGGCTTTTTTGTCAAGGGCCCTTGCAATGCTAACTTCCAGGTCAGCTTATAAAAAACGTAATTACTGCACCACTTTATTGGCAATAAATTAATGATTGCACTTTTACAACACATAATGCCCATTTTCAGAATAGGCATTGTGTGTATTCAGAACTTACTCTTCCACTCCCCAACGGCGAGCTCCAGGCTCTCGAAGGAGTCGTCATAGGGGTCAGAGTCCGGCTCGCTCTCTGGCTCATGGTATTCAGCCAGGAAAGGGTGCCCAAGGCCCTGCTTGGCTGTCAGCCTGGTCTCTGGGTCCAGTATCAACATGCCCTCCAGAATGTCTACAGCTGGAAGCATCAACAAATAAAAACACATCAATACTCCATGACATTCTTTTCATTTACTTAAACGTTAACTAACATTTCTGTCTGTTTTACTTTAACATATTTGTAACTTGATTATTTTCATATTCTATTTGTTATAAACATAAAGCAAATCCTGCTATATAGGCTACAATATTTTTTCAGACACAATGGTTGAGAACAGGTTGCCAAGACCGGCATAGAGGTATTGTGTATTTCAAGATGAGAAAAATGCAATGAATCTCAGTTTAAAGTCAATGAGCAGAAGCGCTTTAGCACACCATTTCCCTCCATTGATGGAAACACTTCGTTGAAGATTTTCTTCTTCTGCGGAGGTAGACCCTGCACATACGACTGCGCCTGGAAAACAGTTAGGAGCCGTTATATATCTCACAGGCTCCACCCTCTACTGGACTCTATGGGTACTACCTTACCCTGCGAGCATTCCCCCACTGAGACTTCTATAGACCTAGCCGGCCTTGGGCGGGCCTACCTGAATGCGCGCGCATCACACCGTATAAACGGTGACCTGACTATCATCCTTTTCTCTTCAGCAGCGGAAGTGATTCCACGAGAGACTGAAGAGGCTTCTCAATACTCGAATTTCCCCTCCTCGACTCCTCGACTCCTCGGTCCTCCGGTAGTGACCCGGAAATGAATTTCAGCGCGCCATTTTGAAGGACATCTCATTTCTCTAAATGCACACCGAGGACCGAGGATCAAGCGTCGAGGAGGCTCTCTGGAGGAGCTATAACCGAGTCGCCACCAGGGTGCGAACTGGAGGGGAGCAGGGGGAGCTATAGCTCCCCTAGTGGTGACATGAGCTCCCCTGGGAACATGGTTTGTGAAATTTGGGGGGAGCTCTCTAAAATACTGATATGATGACCAAATAAATTCCATTTTGGGCATGTTTTTTTTTTCAAAGGAGTAAAATAAGTGAAATAAAATTATATTTAGAGTTTATGATTCATGAAAAAAGTGTCGCCTGCTTGCACGCTGCCCGCAGCTCCACCCACTACCCACTCACTCACAAGCTCGTTTAGTTAGCACTGCATGTTTACCAGGCATGTCGAAAAGAAAAAAACAATTTCTTTAAAAAGACGGCCAAACAACCTGATCAAGAAGACCAACCGAATGTAGCTGGTGGTAGCACATCGTACGTTGTGACTGCTGCTACAACAGAACCGAGAGAGGAGGGAGCTAACGTCAGTGCTAGTGCTAACTTGACAGCTAACGTTAACTTGGGGGCTGAAGAGCTATGTGCATCGTTGTGTTGTGTGAGTGGCGTCGCGTCTCTCCAGGCAGTGAGAGGGTTGTGTTGTGCTATAGCTGTATTATTAATATTAATATTGTTCATGGTTGGTGCCGCTGGCTGCTCTTATCGCGTGTGTTCGGCTCTGTGTAGGCTACAGCCATAATAGGCTATAGCCCATGTGAAACAATGGAGCCTGTTTTTGAGTCATTTTAAGTTGATTTAATTAAACAGTCAAATGTTACATTGGTGGTCCGTGGATTATTTATTATCAAGTTGATTGAAGAATGCGTAGCCCATACATGCTCGGGAAATCTGTTGACATGAACATGATCCATCGGGACGTTTCATGTAAATGTAGACCTGTGGCACCACCCCGTGTGCAACAGATTTTCTCTTTATAATAGGCCTATGTCTCTGCTGTTGCTATTAATGCTCGGATCAGCATTTCTCCCCCCCCACCCCCCCGCAAAAAATAATAAATCCCGGCTCCCCGGAGACCATGGTATAGTTCGCACACTGGTCGCCACTGCTAGAGACCCGGGCCTGTCCTTCGTGCCCTGGCTGAAATAGCGGGCGCCGATCCCCACCACCTTTGCTTAGAGTGTTTGGGGGTCCAGGATATGGACGAGGCGGTGCCATTCACGTTCGCCATTCACGTTCGCCATTCACGTTCGCCATTCCTTCTGGGTCTGAGTCCATGGAAGTCCACCGCCCAGGGCTGTACTCTCCCTGGATGATGATCATGGCGACGGGTGTGTGGGCTACTCACTCATTGCTAGAGATGCCCCCGCCTCACCAGGTCAGAGCGATTATTGGGCCGCAAGGCCGAATAAGTAGCTAGGTCCACGGGCCTTGCCCCAGGCCCGGTTCCCCCGGGGACCGGTGCTCGGTGGCTTCACATGATATAGGGTCGACCCTACTTCATCACAGGCCGCCGCCGCTGCCCGCCGTGTGATGTCCCTGGGATATCACGCCGCGTGGCACTTTCCAAAGAGGATCGTGTTGATCTCCTGGGAGCCCCCGTGTTTACGGAAGGGGGCTGCTTCTTGCCCATTCCCAGAGGAAGAAACACTGTCCTACACTCCCCGCCCCTGCTGTAAACCCCAGTAGGGAGCCAGCAGGTGGGCGTGTGCACATAAACCGAGTGCTGTCAAAGCACTGTGCGGGTTCAAGAGACGCTATTGCCGGCGTGCTGTTGTCAGAAAACACACCTTGCCTGGTATAAAGCTCCGATTAATGCATTTCACCGTTGCAATGGGAAATACAGCGTTAATATGTGGGCGCGCGGCCCTCGTGAGAGTGGCCGCGGTGCGTTCAGGGACCTCCGCATGGGAACGGTGGTTTACGTTTGTAAACTCTAGTTCTGGAGTGAGTTGTGTGTGTGGGAAAAATGCATTCAGTAAAGACTATTGCATTTATCCCAGAGTAACGGCCCCTACACACGGCGGCGTGCGTTGCCGCTTGGCAGTAGGCGTGTCTTGAGCTTGGGGAGTTTACGCGAGCAACGCGACCAACAACCAATCACATGAATCTCTCCTGTCAATTGCATAAAAGGTTTTACATGTCACACTTTACATGATGAATATTTATGACATTAATGTCTATGGTGCTATTTTACACAACATTCCATGCTGGCTAAATACTGTCTATGTCTGCTAGCTGTCCATTCAAACGAAGTACACTGGATATAAACTCCCCAAACAGGCGAACACCTACCAGTTTCACCCACTATCTCTGCAACCTCCCTCCATGCCTGGCTCCTCCGGTTTGTATCCCGGTAGGTGAACAGGGACCAAGACTGCACCGGGTGATTCCCTACCGCTACGATTATTTTCTCCTCCATTTTTTGTTATATGAGGAAATGAACTGCGGTCTGGCTCTCCCAGCATACACGCGGTTTGATTGGCTAGTGCTTGTACTGGTAGATTTGCATAAACGGGATTTGATTGGATGACGCCTCCGTCGAGGCGTCAAAAGTAGAACATTGCTCTACTTTTGCAGCGAGCATCGCGAGAAAAGCTACGCTTTGCTCCCACAATGCAGTTCGGCGAATCATGACGTCACCCCATTCAAAGTGAATGGGCAGAAGCGTTGAAGCGGCAACGCACGCCGCCGTGTGTAGGGGCCGTAACGGCCCCTACACACGTCAGCCAATCAAATCCCGCATATGCAAATCTGACAGTTCAAACGCTAGCCAATCAAACCGTGTGTATGTTGGGAGAGCCAGACCGCAGTTATTTCCCATATGTCAAAAAATTGAAGAGAAAATTATCGTGGCGGTTGGGAATCACCCGGTATATGACCAGTCCCTCTTTACATACAGGGATACAAACCGGAGGAGCCAGGCATGGGGGGAGGTGGCAGAGACAGTGGGTGACACTGGTAGGTTTTCGCCTGTTTGGGGAGTTTATATCCAGTGTACTTCGTTTGAATGGACAGCATAGACAGTATATTTAGCCAGCATGGATGTAGCGTGAATGCTTTGCTTTGTATGTCCGGGGCGGGACATTCATGTGATTGGTTGTTGCTCGCGTTGACTCCCCAAGCTCAAGATACGCCCACCGCCAAGCGGCAACGCACGCCGCCGTGTGTAGGGGCCGTAACGGAGCCTACACACGGCGGCGTGCGTTGCCGCTTCAACGCTTCTGCCCATTCACTTTGAATGGGGTGACGTCACGATTCGCCGAACTGCATTGTGGGAGCAAAGCGTAGCTTCTCTCGCGGTGCTTGCTGCAAAAGTAGAGCAATGTTCTACTTTTGCCGCCTCGACGGAGGCGTCAGCCAATCAAATCCCGCGTATGCAAATCTGACATTACAAGCGCTAGCCAATCAAACTGCGTGTATGTTGGGAGATCCAGACTGCAGTTATATCCCATATGTAAAAAAATGGAGGAGAAAAAGATCGTGGCGGTACTATATGACCAGTCCCTCTTTACATACAGGGATACAAACCGGAGGAGCCAGACATGGGGGAGGTGGCAGAGACAGTGGGTGACACTGGTAGGTTTTCGCCTTTTTGGGGAGTTTATATCCAGTGTACTTCGTTTGAATGGACAGTTAGCAAGCATAGACAGTATATTTAGCCAGCATGGATGTAGCGTGAATGCTTTGCTTTGTATGTCCGGGGCGGGACATTCATGTGATTGGTTGTTGGTCGCGTTGTTCGTAAAAAATCCCCAAGCTTCAGACACGCCCACCGCCAAGCGGTAACGCACGCCGCCGTGTGTAGGGGCCGTAAGAGTTATTTCTCGCCACAATTCCACTTTTCCCCATAATGTCCGTTTCAAAGAGACGGCATTGTGACGGCGCGCACGGCCCCCCTCCCCCGAGGGCGGGCCACGGTGCGTTCAAAGAGAGGTGAGACGAAGGGAGATGTGCCGGCACGGAGATCCCGTGCCCGCGGCGCCCTCCACCTCTTCGGCCCACCCCGTGGAACCGGCGTGCCGGCACTCACGGGGACGGGCTTTCCGTCTTTACGGATCCGACTGGCGGGGGGAGAAAATCTCTCCGCCCGGGACGAGGGGGCGAATCCCGCCTCCTCCCTGTATAATGCACAGATCACTACGTTTTCTAATAAGAATGAGGTTGATCTGTATCCAAATCTAAGTGTCTTTTCTTTTGTTTCCACAAAGGCTAACTCACGGAGCGTCCACACAGCAGCGTGCGTTGACGCTTGGAGGTGGGCGTATCTGAAGCTTGGGGATTTTTTGCGAGCAACCCGACCAACAACCAATCACCTGAATCTCCCGCCCCCGACATACAAAGCAATAGTAATGTTAAAACGAAGTAAACTGGATATAAAATCCCCAAACAGGCGAAAACCTACCAGTTTCATCCACTGTCTCTGCCTCCTCCCTCCATGCCTCGCTCCTCCGGTTTGTATCCCGGTAGATGAACAGAGACTGATCATACAGCACCGGGTGATTCACAAAAGAGCGCGCGGCGGTGCGTTCAGGGTCCTCAGTAAATAATCGGCCCTTTCTGTGTCAACCCTCCATGGGAAAATCTTCCCTTCGCGGGGAGTTTTTGCGGCGGAACGGGTCACCAGAGAGTATCACAGCTTCATAGCTGCGGCCCCACGGCTGAGGGCTTTCCATTAACACAA